CTGGTAAGCTGCCTCCCACCCCGAATTCCGGAATTCCCATGGGATCCTGGGGTGGGCGGCTGCGGGGAGCTGCAGGGCCCTTTGGGTGGCTGGCAGCCCGCTGGCGAGCACCGCGGAGCGTCCCGCTGCCGACCTGCTCGTGCCAGGGACTGGAGCTGAAGGTTTGTTTCCACAGGGTGGGCCCATAGACCAACCCCTCGGGATCACGCTGTGTGAGCCCAAAGAGGAGTCACGCCAGGTTTTCCTGGGCCTGGCATCCTCCTTTGTGTGTGAGGAAGGACAAGGGGGGGGACACGGGACTCCGGGTGCCTCTGGAGCCTGCTGAGCACAACGTGCTCGTCCTGCGAGCTCTGGTCCTGCCGAGAGCGGGGCAGACAGCAGCGTGGAAAGGGCTGTTCTTCCCTCTGCCGCCCACGGAGAGTCCGACCTGGAAAATCAGGTCTGTAGCAGCTAAACACGCTGGCCCCGGGTGTGCCAGGAGACAAAAAACCCTGCTGATTGCCTTTCTGGGATTCTTTTTTTTTTTTTTCTTTAACTTGTTACTAGTTTTTGTCTTCAGGTTGGTCCAGAACAAAAGCATTAATAAGGACTGATACGTCTTAACGCAGGTATTACTTATTTCTGTGATAAGCTCATTATTTTTCAAGTCTCTACATTGGAATTCGTTACCTGCAGTGATGAGGCTTCACCTCTGGTAAAATTTTTGACGGCAGCTACAGGCCTGAAGTGAAATTTGAATGTGAAAAATGTGTTCGGAGCTCCCGAGCAGCCGCGCTCAGCAACTGCAAACGGGCCGGTGCAAGCTGGGGCCCGCAGAGCTGCAGGGGGACGTGCTGACCCTCGGGGGGAGTTGCTTTAGACAGATGCTAAAAGCCCTTAACTTTAAAAACAACCCAGCCCACGACTACAGCAGCGTGAACAGGGCTGTTTCACCCCGCTGACACTTGCTGCATTATTTCTAACTTCAGGTGCGTTGCACTGAGTCAGAATCTCCTGCAGAATCAGAATCTGCTCCAGCCAGAAGAGTGTTTCTGGACCACAATCAGTTATTTGCTGGCACAGTCATTTCTAATACTTTGAAGGCGTACGACTTGAGAATGAAAACCACTATTTATTTTGTGGCTGTGAATTACAGTGTGTTTCAAGGATAGACGTGAAAATGTTTATTTTTCTATTGTACTGTGATTTTAATATTGTTGAGTAAGTTCGATTTCTGTGTAAATACTAGTGAAATTTGACTGCAATATCTGCAGAGACAGTGCTACTTGGTATTTAAGCTCAGGTTATGTAACTGCTTTAATTAAATAGTAGTAAAAAAAAATCCCCTTATTTGTCTATAATTTTAACGAATAAAAAGATTTTGTTTTTTTAATAAAGCACGAAGTAGTTTGCATGTACATTTACCGTCAGGCATGGCTTTTGAAGTTGTGACTATTTTTAGTGGCAGCAGAACGGCAGCCACAGAGTTACTGGCACTGTACCTAGCAACCTCAC